ACCAACAATGTACATTACATTTCCTGATCAACATCGTGTAGTGAAATGGGCTCATGAAGCAATCAGTGGTGTAACAATTCTTGACAATTGTCTGACATGTACAGGCGTATGGCTTGATAAAGATAAAAATGTGTATGTATCAGAGACGGTTAATCATCGTGTCATTAAGTGGTCGCCTCAAACCAATCTGACTACGAATGTTGCGGGTCAATATGATGAATCAGGGTCAGATAGTACACACTTAAATGATCCAAACTGCATTTATGTGGATCAAATGAATGGTACAGTCTATATAGCAGACTTTTCCAATAATAGAATTCAAAAATGGGAAAAAAATGCTTCAGAAGATATTACTGTAGCTGATTCAAGTGATGGCACTGCAGGATGGAATAATGCATCATTAGTAAACCCGGAAGCTGTACGAGTTGATGAAAAAACGAAAGTTTTTTATGTAGTTGATACATATAACAATCGGATCCAACGTTGGCTTCCAGGAGCATCTGAGGGTGAAACTATTGTTGGTGGAAGAGGTATACAGTTTCGTATATTATTTATGAAGTTTTCATATCTTAACTGTTTTCCTATAGATGAAACTTGTGTGGATCATCAAAATCATAGATTTAAGTGACTTGATAGCTTCTGATAGCTGTAAAAAGAAAACGTTCTAAGAAACGGAGATATATGAGTTCACATTAGAATTCAGCAAAGAAGTAGTTTAAAATCGATATAGAATATCATCTTTTCTTTTTTTGAATGGATTGCCTTCTGGAAATCATTTTATTAGAAACAATAGGAGAATACCCCAATGGTTGCAGTAAAAAACGCAGTCCTTGAATCTTTGAAAATCCAGATTAAGAAGTCTTCATAATAACTACCAAGGTGAAGATTACGACCTACACTTACTTATTAAACGTGCCTGTTTGCAATCATTCCATTGAATTGAAAATACATTAATTCAGATTTATTTTCTTATTAGTTTGCGATATAATATGTTGTTTGTTTATGAAAAAAATTTATTTAAAGTTCTGGGAGTAAAAATGATCAACTATCGGCTCCACGTGACCTGGCATTTGATAAACATGGTCATCTTTATGTTAGTGATGTAGGCAATATTCGTGTTCAAATGTTTGCATTAATCGATAATCAACCATGTTCGTCTACATCAACAGGTTAGAATTATTCTCATCATTTTCTAATGTTTATTATTCATTTAGCATATTCATCTATGGGCACGTATGTTCACAATGAAAAGAGTTTTGCTTAAACTTTAGAAGGATTGAAATTATATTTTAGGTTAACAATGAATAGTATGATCTTCTCAGTTTTGAGTTGGCTCATCATCATGCTCTTTTGACTATAATTGTCTGGATAAATTTTGATAAAAAGAAACATATTCCATGGCATTTTCTCTTGATATTCTATTGAACTAAATGCTCCTATTCGCGTTTTTTCAAATTCAAAAAAAATGTTAATGTTCATCCTTATTTCATTTTTAGTGATCGATCAAATTGATTCAATGTGAGTATGATAAGTTCAAAATTGTTTCTGTTAGTTGAATCAGAAAATTTACTACAGAAGATAAATAGAATCATTTCTTTTCATTAGAACTTGTATAATTTTTAGATTCTAATTATATCAGATAGTTCTATCATTTATTTTTTTTTTTTTTTTTTTGATATTGAATTTTATTGTGTCCTATTCTGGTTTACATGTGTTTAAAAGTAAAAGAAGAGAGAAAGAGCAAAAAGAAAAACAATAGGAAGAAGAAGATAGAGAAACAGAGTGCAGAGAAGGTCAGTATTCAGACAATTATTATTATTATTATTATTCAGCAGAAAATGCTCTGTGCGAGTTATAAGAAATAGAGAGAGAAAAGAAAAATATATGAAAAAAAGATATAATGAAACAGAAAAATAAAGACGGTAATATTTGTGTAAATGCATTTCTGCAGCACAAGACATGAAGAAAAATAAGTATAATATGTGTATTGAACATTAATAGTCGAACATGTTTTGAAAGAAATTGGATATGGGTGTGGATGTGTGGTGTGGGTGTGGATATGAGTATATGTCTTATCTATACCCACACCCACACACCCACACTCCACACCCCCACCCCCACCCACACCCACACCCACCGACACCCAACACCAAGAGGGAACAAGCGGACTTCTGTACTTCTTGTACTTCTTCGTGCTTTTTGGTACTTCTTCGTACTTCTTGGTACTTCTCTGTACTTCTCCGTACTTTTGTACTTCGGAAGTACAGAAGTCCGCTTGTTCCCCCTTGCCCCACACCCACACCCACACACCCCACCCACATCTACACCCACCCACACACCCACACCCCCCTCCCCCCACACACACCGACACCCACATCTACACCCACCTTACACCGACACCCACACCCACACCTACACCCTTCAACCATTGTAAATATCAATGCGTTTGTTTGTTTCGAATAAACCGAAGCTTATCTCATAAAATATGACATAAAGGTGACTGTGTAGGTAGGCTCTACATGACAGTATATGTATATAGAAGGCAAAAAACACCTCCTCGAGGGAAGAATAGAATAAAGAAAAAATATATTACAAATCATTTATTATCTTGTTGTTGCGCACATAAGAGCATGTTTATCACTATCATTCTCCTCACGTGCTTTGTTTCTCTTGTCGCTGTCTATTTGTTAACTTTAAAGTCTCGTTATTCGTATTTTCGTCTTCGAGGCATTCCAGGACCATCACCCACATTCTTCCTCGGACACTTTGGTACTATATGGTCTACTAAATTGTATTCACGTCAATTGCAATCATGGACACGACAATTCGGTCCGATCTATGGTCTTTTTGAAGGCACTCGTCCATTCTACGTTGTTTCCGATGTTGATTTTCTTCAACAGGTGTTGGTCCAACAATTTTCATCATTTAACTCACATCGTACCTCTTTTCTCTACCAACTATCCAAATCGGTTCATCTGATTGGCGCCGATTCAGTACGATGGCATCAACAACGACATGCCATCAATCCAACATTTTCAACAGCAAAGCTAAAACTCATGACACCGCTTGTTGATCGATGTATTGCATCGTTCATGAAAAAATTATCCGAAATGAATAAGGACAACAATGAATTCGATATCTATAAGCTATACCAACGGTTGACCATGGATGTTATCTGTCAGTATACTTGAAGTATTGCTTTTGTTAAAAATATCATTTGACTTTTATCTATTAGGTCATTGTGCATTCGGAATGGATACGAACATGCAAAATGATCTTGACAATGAGTTGATAGCCAAAGCAGCTGTTATTTTCAAACAAGATATCGAGCGTCTGTTGTTGACCAAATTAAGCTATTTAATGCCATGGCTGACACCTTTTCTCACCCAGCTTGTTCTTTGTCAGATGGCTCTTTTTCGTGGTCTCCATAAACTAGCACCGACAATCTTTCCCGACGTGTTCGATAAAAACCCTCGTTTTTGGCTTCTATCAAGAGTCCAACAGGTAATTGATGCTCGAACAACATCATCAGCAATGACAAAACGAGTTGATCTGCTTCAGCTAATGCTCGATACCAATGTCACACAGCGTGAGGTTCGTATATAAAGGTAATATAGGAAAAGACTTATGTGCTATGTTTGTTCTAGGGAATTGTTCATGAGACGAGACTGAACAACGATGAAATCAAGGCGAATGTATTTCTCTTTATGGTTGCTGGTTTCGATACAACCTCGACGATTTTTGCTTATTCCACTTACGTATTGGCTACTGAACCCGAAATTCAAAAGAAACTTCAAGCAGAAATTGATAATCAACATGGGAAAGAACTCGATTATGATACGGTAACAAAAATGGAATATATGGATTTATTTCTACGAGAAGTTCTTCGTATGTATCCGGCTTCCACAGCAGCCGTGACAAGAGTGTGCAATGAAACCACAACAGTATGTGGTCATAACATCCACAAAGGTAAAATAACATCTGATATCGTTGGCTAAAAACACAGATTTGATTTTTTTTTGCAAACTAAGGAAGCGTCATTCAGCCAGACATACTCACTGTTCACTACAATTATGATTTATGGGGTCCCGAAGACCCGAATCGATTTGTGCCTGAACGACACGCAACTAAACGACATTCAATGGCGCTGTTGACATTTGGTGCGGGACCACGCATATGTATTGGAATGCGATTTGCTCTGATGGAAATCAAAATGGGTTTAGCTCGTTTACTGCGTCATTATGTGGTGTTACCCGGCGCACATTTGGAAGAGGGTTTCCAACTTCGTGAAACATTTGTCATACAACCAGATGCTGTCTATGTCAAACTCAATAAACGTCGTTGATGATGATCGAACAAAAACGAATCGTTGCTTTCATGACTGATCAAATCGACTTAAAACTATTAGAATTATCATATTAGTGACCAACAATACTTTTTCGTTAATTACTCATCCGCTAACCTGAATATATACTCAATGAGTTTTTTAGAGACGATGCTTCAATTAGTATCTCTAGTAACATGAGATTCTTTTCTAAGAAGGCTAAAGCCCGAACGGTAACATCATGACCAATGATATCTACGATTTTATATTTATTCTGGGATTAGAAATCTCCTTCACGACAATGAATTTAAGGGTGTGGGTGTGGGTGTGGTGTGGGTGTGGGGTGGGTGTGGGTGTGTGGGTGTGGGGTGTGGGTGTGGGTGGGTGGGGGTGGGTGTGGGTGTGGATGGATGTAGGTGTGGGGTGTGGGTGGGTGTGCTTGTGGGTCGGCGTCGGCGTGGGTCTAGTTCGTTTTCCCACCCACACCCACACCCCACCACACCCCCTACACACATACCTACACCCACACTCACACACTCACACACTCACATACCCACACGCACACCCCATACCCACACCCACACCCACGCCCACCCACACCCCACACCCACACCCACACCCTCAAGCCTTACGGGAATGGGAACAGAAACTTTTTACTGGAACGGAAAAAAGTTGTTCCCGCAGGACACTATCTCATGAGGTAACCGGCAAAACCGATCTTACTGGTAATTCTTGAAAGTGCATTCTCACATAGTTCTAACAAGCTTTTCTATTTTCCAATACTTTTAGATTAGCAGGTGCCAGCTGTTTGAAAAGACCAAGCGTCGCTGTACTTTGCATGTGCTGGTTGTCTTAATCATCGCAGTCAGCGTCCGGTGCCCATCAATTTCATCAACTTTTGTTAGTCGCTGATGAATTCTAGCATCTAGAGATACATCGACTCCAGCGCCGATTCTCGACTCCGAATCAGTCGGAATTAGTTGCAATTGGAATTAATTCGATTGCTACTTCAATAGTTCGAACCTGAATCGATTAAAGACGTGAAGTTACCATTACGCAGGCAGTTACTGTGTAACCGACAATTCCTGGATTGATTCTTTTGTCAAAGCAAAGCTACTATGTGAAACTAGCGATTTTCTATAAAGTTTGATCAAAGGTAATCGGGGTCGAGAAAATACAAATCTGTAATCAGTTTCTCGAAATTGTGTGCTTGATTCCTCGATCAAGTTACGTCTACTCTGAAAACCTTTGATGAAACTTTATTAAAAAAAAAACCGTTATTTTCTCAAAAAAACCCTTTCTTTGGTGACAAAATCAGGTGCACAATTTCGCGAAATCGATTGCAATTTCGGATTCCCCGACCCAGATTACCTTTAGTCAAATTTTACAAAATATTGCTACTTTTGCATAATAGCTTTGCTTTGACGAAAGAATCAATATAGGAATTTTCACTTACCCAGTAACTGGTAAAGTAAATGTCTATGTAACGATAACTTCCCTCCTTTAACCAATTC